TTATTTGTTTGTCATAAATCCTCCCCCCCCCCCCTCACTTCCGCTCTCCATTTCCGCCCGCGTGCATTACGAGAGCCTTGCCTTCCGCATTCCGAGACGCGCATTCCTTTCGCCTCGCGATAAATTTCATCGACAGATTTGAGCATTGGTAGGATTAGAATTTCGCGATTTCACCGAACGAGAATTACGCGAGCAATTTTAATTAATTATGGACGCGAGCGGAATGATCGGCAGTCGAAATATTAAAGATCGCTCTTTACTGCTGGCGCGCGAGAATCGCGCAGGCGTCGCGTCGCGTCTTCTGGTGCGCGGAGAGAATAGTCTCTCAAAATTTACCCCGAAAATCATCGCAATCGCGGGACAGCGCGGCATTTCGAAGAATTTTAGGAGAGTTTCTTGAAATTTTACCATACTTTTCGCTAGTAACTCTATATTTTTGCAAAAACTCTCATCAAGTTCTTCGAAATGCCACGTTGTCCCACGATTATATGGTTTTCAGGGTAAGTTTTAAGAGGAAATTCTCTCCGTGTGCAAACGCGGCTCGTCGTCTCGAACAGACGCCGAGACGCGACGTCTCGAATTAAGCAGCGCGAGGATAAACTCGCTGACCGTTGAGTCGATCGCGCGGTTTATTTATTGAATCCGTTTGCTCGGCGCGAAACAGCCCACCGCCGAACGGGCCATTTGCGCCGCTCAAAATCTGGAGTATCGACCTGACTCCGAGGTCGTCCCGCGGGCGAGAACCGCCATATGATTAATCCAGGTGCAAGAACCGTTTCGTGTGGCTAAGTCGTTAGCGAAGCCAAAATAGAAATCGGTTAGCGCCCGTTTCTCGTGAAACACGGATTCTAGGGAACCCATTACCGTTTTAATCGCGTAAACCGTCGTCAGCGTTATTATTATTACTTGCGGGAATTGTAGGCTCCGTTTACGCGTGCGTGTGAAATTCACAGGCTAATATGTGTTATTCTCACAAACACACTGAGAAAAATTTTCATCGGACAAACCAATTAAATGGTGTGTTTGACGGTTAATTTTTCCCAATACGTTTTCCGATTAAATTATGGATACATCCGATAAGATTTATCCGATGAAATGCAGTTACCGATGAAATCTGATCGAAAAACCGATCACATTTTTATCGGATATACAATTTAATCGGATATATCCGTTTGTTATTGTGTAATTGTATTATCCGGTTATATTTAAGCGGACATTTTTCTCAGTGCAGCATCAGAATTTTTTTCAATGGGATCCGCTGATGAAATACAGAGCAGATTGAGTCCTAAATCTACACGTGACAAGTAGTACAGTTTTATATATTTCGGAGCTAAGAATATTATAGAATAGATATTTATTCTATAATATTATTCTATAATATATTATAGAATAGACATTTATTCTGTAATATGCTTAGCTCCGAAATATATAAAATTATATTACTTGTTGCATGTACATATATTTTAATTATAATATTTTTAACTTTAATTCCATATGGTGAAAGCGTAGGGAAAAACTTGCAAAATCTTATTTACACAGCAGCAAATTAGAAAGTAAAATTATTATGCATGAATAAACAAGTAAATTAATTATAACAAAGTTATTATTATTATTGTATATATAATATGTATAATATATATGTACGATATGTATAATAAAACAAACTGTATAATACAATAATTATTAATTATTAATATTTATAAATATATAATTTATTTGTTTATTAAAAATGCAACAATGCCAGAAATATATTATCACGGTGTCAATATTCGGGTAAATAAACAATTGAACAACTTCGTTACAATGCAGCTGGGCAGAATAATCGAGTTGTATAACCGTAAACTGCGGTTCTGGATCTTTCACAGAATTTTAGATCCATCCTGTTTGCTTTGCAGGTGACATGGAAATCCTGGCGTACTTCTTCGGACCGATCGGAGTGCTGCTGGCCATAAATCTTATGTTTTTCGCTGTAACCGCTCGCGAATTGACATGCGGCCTCTGGAAAGGCGAATTCGTCAAAAGCACCACTGAGAGGTAAGTGAACGTTTTCCTCGTCGCGATTAAAAAAGAAGGGAGGGGAGGGACCGAATAATATATCTTGCCGTTTCATTTTTCAGCACTGTTTCCGCGGCAATAATTTATAATGTTTCAACTGTTTCAAACGTACGCGATACTCATTTGCGTGTTCTATTCACTAACAAACTTTACCAGAGAAATTGTACGGAATAACAATGTTTTTCTCCCCTTCTTTTGAACGGATATCAATCTATTCTTCGCGCCACAAAAGGCTTTTGTACGTTAATAAATAAATTTCTCTGTAAAATTCTATCTTCCCCGGTAATACGGCAATAACAACGCTTGCGGCGTATCGTATTTACATTTCTTTCTCCCTTACCAGAAATAATAAATACATATTTTACTTCGTAACGATATACATGTCAAACAAAATTAATTAAGGGGATGCTGAGGTAATTCTGCACCTTTTGCACTTTTGCATCTGGAACCGTCAATGCGTGAAAACATTTGTGTAATATACAAATATGTGGCTTTTATGTACAGACCGACGGTGTTCCACTAATCGGACTAAAGCAGAGAACAGCATGGTGTCATTGAAATTAAGCTTAGAAGCCTAACGAAACATCTATTCACTCGAATAAGTTATAGATTATTTACACTAAAAAAATGTTTCGCTGCCATAGCTAATCATGATTTGCTAAAAACGTTTTGCTGCCATAACTATAAATTTCGAAACCACAGCAAACGGTTTGCTGTCGCACCTAATACCATACGCACAGTAGCAAAATATTAGCTATTACAACTAAATATTCGCTGTCCATATTTTACAACTAAAGCTGAGTTGCCACATGTAGTTTTTAACTACGGCAGCTACACTTGATTTCCATGTAACCTGTAACTCATTCGAGTACACAAAGACCACATACCTAATTTATATATTACACAAATGTTTTCAATTGACAGTTCTAGGAGTAAAAGGTGCAAAAAGTGCAGAAGCACTGCAGCATCTCCTTAAGGAAGAAGATACCATATTAATCGGAGTAAGAAAATCGAGCGAAAGACGGGAAGTGTCGGAATCAGAGGGGGAGGGGGGGTCAATTTAATTATGTTCTACGAGCATTCAGTATCTCCGAGTATCCGTGTATCCGGGAGCAGTCGATTTATCGATGGATTAACGAAGGATCGCCCCTGTAGTTCGGTCGGATTAGCCGAGACGACTCGGCTCGGAACCGACCAGCTGATGGTCCCCCTAAATTCAGCGGAACGGCGTTCGCCAACCTTGCGGCCGACGGATACGGCTTTCGCCGGCATTCCACGGTGCAAAATAATAACGTTTACTCCTCCCGGCGTAGCTTCCCCCCGAGATCGGGAGAGGGTATAAACGCACGCTCGTCACGCAGGACTTCGGCCGGCCAGCGAGTTCTCCTTTGTCCCGCGCAAACGTTTACCTCACGCCTGACCGTGAGACTTGGCGAATATTCTCCTCGCGTTTTTCTCCAGTTTTCGGAGAACGGCTGTCGGCGATGAAAGAGGAAAGACTCGCGGCCGTGGGGTAAACCGCCGAGGGCATTGTGCATGTGTGCGCATTTGCAGCATTACTAGGCATTACTAGGCATTACTAGGCATTACTAGACATTTTTTGGGCATTAACGCACGGAGAGAATTTTCTCCTAAAATTCATCCTGAAAATCGTGTAACCGTGGAACAACACGGGCATTTCCAAGAATTTTATGCGAGTTTTTTGAAATTTTACTCTACAGTTTGCTAGTAATTATACTTATTGTTAGTACACATTTTACTAGTGAAATGTATGGTAAAATTTCAGAAAACTCTCATAAAATTCTTCAAAATGTCACGTTGTTCCACAATTACACGATTTTCAAGATAAATTTTAAGAGAAAATTCTTTCCGTGTGGGTGTTATTTGGACTTGCTGGGGCATTACAAAGAATCGATAAAGATGAAATAAGGTAAAACCAAATAAAATTAAATAAGATAATAAGATAAAGTAATGCCCGCTGGACATTACTGTCAAATTTAAGTGCATCAGTGGGGATTGGTGTACAGTTTTATTCATTAATGCCTGGACCTCGCTCTCCAAAAGTCAGTCAGTGAATTATTACTGAAAACAGTGAACGGTTACTGACTTGCGGTTATAAGTACCTATATTAAAAATTGCAGTGGTATACTTTAACCGTGAATCAGTGACTATTCACTGTTTTTAGTGATAATTCACTGATTAATTTTCAAAGAGCAGTTTTACTAAAATTCACATTTTCATAATCTTTATTCTCATCTATACGAGTAAAATGTATGGTAAAATTTCAAAAAATTCTCATAAAATTCTTAGAAATGCCGCGTTGTCCCACGATTACATGATTTTCAGGATACATTTTAAGAGAAAATTCTCTCCCGTGTACAGCCTGAAACTCGGTGATTTGTACAGATGAGAAAAATGATGATAAAAATGCAGGTCCGGGCATTAATGAATAAGACTGTACATGATTTCAGTCAGCGGTATATCCTTTGCCCGCGACCTTGCCGCCGCGCAAGGCAAGATAAACTCGTTCGCGCGAGCCGCGAGCATCTGCTTATCGTATCCGACTTGATTCGCGCACGCTCCGCGGTGTCTGGCTAATCGATTCAATTGAGCAATCAATTCGCGCGATCTATTTAAAGATCGAAGTGAAACGATCGGACGTGTGCACGAGGCAACGTTTTGTCACGTAAAAGTGAACGGTCGTTAGAGAATTCGGTTGGAGAACGCGCGGCTACTTTACCTACAACATCTCGCAGACGACGTAATAAAACCTCCCGTATAATTTTAAGCTTCAATGAGCGAAAGCGTGCACGCGGAAAGCACTAAAAGACCAAACAGCGCGGAGTCGAAACATCATCATAAGCTCGTTATATCGGAAACGTTCAACGCCGCTCGTTACAACCGAGTTATTCCGGGCGAGACCATTCCGTAGAAGACCAAGTGCATTGCTCCGATTTGTCCTTCCTGAAAAGACGATGAGGCGCATCGACGGCGCGCACACGCGCGCGGGAATATCGATGCCCTCGCGCGGTATCTCTAGGAATATCCCGGAATTGTGCCAACAGCCGCGTTTACGGGCTCGTTTCCGACGCGCTTCGATGCAACGATAATAAACGCGAGAAGCCAGAGAACGCCCGATCGTTTCGGCGGCTGCAAAACGACACTCTCGCTTCGGGAACGACCGAGCTTTATTCGCCCAGGCGAAACGCCCGGTCTCCCGTTTTTCGCGAAAACGCGGGACTTTATTTTGGACGCCGAAGGACGGCGCACGGGCTCGTTGAATATCAAGGATAACTGGTCGGGCGGAAACGACGGCGAAAGGACGCGGTGGCGGCGAAAGCCGCGGGGAAAATCCTCGGAGTATCGAGGCGTCCACTCCGACTCGAAATTTCCATATCCACTAAGACTCTAATATATACAGTACCGCTCTCTCAAAGTCGATCAGTGGATTATCACTGAACACAGTGAATAGTCACTGATTAACAGTTATATAAGTATACCACTGCAATTTTCAGCAGTAATTTTATAACGCAAATCAGTGACTATTCACTATTTTCAATGATAATCCACAGATTTACTTTTCTACAGCGGCGAAAATTGTGTCACCTTTCGGTTTTCTTAACATAACTACTCTCTCAAAGTCAATCAGATTATTACTGAAAACAGTGAATAGTCACTGATTTACAGTTATAAGTATACCACTGCAATTTTCAGTAGTAATTTTATAACTGGAAATCAGTGACTATTCACTATTTTCAGTGATATTCCACAGATTGACTTTTATAGAGCAGCG